GAGTGCCTATAGGGTGATATGGGGAATCGAAAACGTCCTGTTTTGGTTTTGATTCGTAGCCATCTTCATGTTTGTTGAGGGTGTCAAAAGTTTAAGAGCCATAACGGCTTGAACAAAAATTTGTTTCGCGTCCACTGGTCAAAGTGGCTTAAACAACTCTACAAAAAAGTTCATTACAGGTTTTATGTGGGTTTCTTAGTTTTTGAGTTTTGAATTGAAAAGTTTTATTTTTTCGAAATTTGGATTTTTCTCGAAAAGTAAGCATCAGAGTGAAAAATGTTAATTAAAAAAAAAGATGTGCCTTGATGAGAAGGAAACGAACGAAAAGGTCTTATACGTTTTTTGCGTTGGATTGAAAATAAATGCAATGATTATATTAAATGTAGTCGGAAAGCCAAGTCAGGAGTGACAACTAGTTTTCTTTATTAAACTGCAGAAATACGAGGTAAAGTTTCCAAAGGAATTCGCTTACAAACACTTTTAGTTACAATAGCGAAATAGGTCTTTGGATTGAATAGATACTGCACATTTACCAACTTTTCGCACTCTAACAGTGGAATACACAAGTATCCTATGGAGTAATTGTTTATAACAAGCTGTATTTTTGTGAAATTAGCACATTTACACAGAATACTGAACAAAACGACACTTCGTTTTTTAACCCGCTCCAATGGTAAAACTTTTGATTTTTGCAGCTTATTTTTACTAAGCCGTGCTTAATTTTCAAAGTTGCAGAAGTAACTTAACATGACTGATTTCCAGCGTGTAATTCAAAACCAAAGCCAGACAACCAGACGACAAACACAATTTAGAAAAACAATTCATTGACAAACGTGGGAGAAGATTACGGATGTTCGCTGCTATTACAATCGACAAAATAAAAACTTGAACTGAACATGAGTAATATTTGTTTGGTGGAATGTTCTCAAAACCTTGACTCTTTTTCTTCCGCATAATTCAATGGAAAAAAAACGCAAATAAATGCTCTCGTTATACAATTTAGTGAACGTAGCTGTAATCCAAATAAATATAACGAGTGGACTATAAGTACGAAAATGAGTTTTATTAAAGACACAATCCGTCTAACAAAATACGCCCAACTATGGCTTAAAATCTGTTCTACCAATAGAAATCAGGTCTTTTCACCAATCACATCTCCAGAAGAGAAGTTTGCCAGACACCTCGAGTTTTGCCTTCGAACTTGCCAGAGCAATCCAGTTCGACTGCACTGACCGATTCTGTAAGGGTGTTTCCCTCGGTGTTTCCTTACTATTTTACTGACAAGAATCAGAGTTTTCAACGCGCTTAAAGAAAACGGCACTAATGAACACTAAAATAAAACAGCGAGAATAACACTGATATCTCCAGAATTCGTACAATTATCTAAAAGGTTGGTTGCTCTGATTTGTTTACCCAAAGTGTTGACGGTAAAATTGATGAAAAATCGGAGACCCCGTAAATGAATGCCGTTGCTAAATTAGGTGTATTACAGCAAAAAGTTATCCGAACAGGTCGGCAGTGGTCGCATTAGAAGTGCACTTCTAAATTCTAAATTTTTATGTTTATTGCAGGACGCACAATTAAATAAAGAAGTTTTAATTTTTTAGATGTAAACAGCCGAATGTGTGCTTCCGTTCCTCTTAAAAAAAAATTGGTGGCCTTATGCCGTAATGTTTTTAGGTCATTCGCCAGAAGCCTACCGCCGCTGCCCGCAAGAGATCTGGAGACCGTTTCTCTGGCGTGTTATCTGTGGCCATCGTTTCGCAACCGTTCTAAATTCTTGTCCAAAGGCAAGGCCGTATTCCCTTGGTGGCGCCCGAGTCCACCGTCCCGTGCCTTCAGTTTCCGTTTGAGTTGGAATTGACTTGTATATACAGTGAATTTTTTTTAAATCCGAACATAGGAGTTTGCATGCAACGTAATTTCCGTATGTTCGATTTTTAAAAAAACACATCAATCTATTGAGTAGTTCAAATGAGTAGTAGATACAATTGACAGCTGTCACATTTTAAAAAATACCGACGTACAATTTAATTTCGAAATCGGTTAGGTGGCAGCTTAGAATATCAAGGAGGACACTTCGAACATTTATTGTAGTTGTTTTCGTTATTTATTTTCTTATTTTCACCATTTATGTATTGAATAGATCAAATTAGTAGAATACCAGGTGCACATGACCTACAAATAATTGAAGGTTGGTTCACAATGAGTTGTGGTGTCAGTGCGTGGCCTGTGAGGTCAAGTTGTCGTAAGTTTAAGAAAAATGTATCCTAAAGTTGCTATGGCCTCACATGGCTTCTTTAAAAAAATCTTACCGAGTGCTCTTCATCATAAAGACTATTAGAGTTGTTGTTCATAGTCACACAAGTTGCGCGATTTGGAAATGTGAACCGCGCACACCTCATAGATTGATGTTTTTTTTTAAAATCGAACATAGGGAAATTACATTGCATGCAAACTCCTATGTTCGCATTTAAAAAAAACTCACTGTATAGATAGTTATATTTAATTGTGAATGTACATTTTTTGGTTTGTAATTAATAACATTTCATTTTTGGATTTAACTAAGCTTACCGTTTAATTTTAAAGCCCACCGATTGCGTGCGAACCACTCCCTCACTCATTTAAAATAATAATAATGTTGTATTTTTTTTTATTATAAAAAGTTCGTGAACTGGCAATGTATGCCAAAAAATAAGGAAGGCCCTTTTGACATCTCCGTTAAGTGTTAACCGAATTACATGCGATTCAAAATGAACATAGCTTTAGCCATATAATACGCAATACCGAGCTATTAGACCGAGAGCTGGTGGATTTGGGTAGGTATTTGAGGCACGCTGAAAACTTGTCCAATACTTCATCAATTAATCAATAGGGTTAGCCCAGCCACTCCTCAGCCAGATCTGCAATTCTGTATTTGGGTATTATTGGAGAAGTATTGGAAAAGTTTTCAGTGAGCCTCAAATACCTACCCAAAAATGTCTACCAGCTCTCCTACTATATAGCCATACCCAGGAACTCGTTTGCTATTTATTATTAATTAGTTGCATAGTCAAGTTTTCCTCTAAGTTTTCACATGCAGACCAGATTCTGACATTTCACAAATAAATATGTGCGTGTGTTTTTTGTGTAAATTATACCATATTGTCAATTTTAGGGTGGTGGCGTTTAAGCATGGAGCAAGTGTGATGCATGTATCTTTTGTAAAATATTCAGAATTCACTTTCAGCCCCAAAATACGCAACTATGCCTTCATTTAAGTGACCTGGTATCTCTTATGGTTTCCAAGATCTCAATGGTCATTCGAATTTGGGGCAACCTGTACAAGCCACAAAAAATAACTCTTTTTGCAGTCTTTATAAAACCCACTAAAAAAAGAATTGCAAAAATAGTAATACATTCATTCAAATGCTATAAATTACTAAAACTATATAAAGTGGCCCATGCAATCCTTGATTTGGGACACCTCATATGAAATACATAGCTACAATGTTACATACAGTTTATGCCTCAGACAAAATGCTATTGTTTCCATTCAGAATAGAAAACAGACCGATATTCAAATATGTCTCCAGAAATGTATATCAAAAACAATTTTAGTTCAATAACCAGCCTTGCTTAACAAACAAGAATGCATATTTGCATTGTTAAAATTAAAAGAACTCTATACCTTGTCTATACTACAGTGACTTTATAGAGACAGTGGCGACAACAGGGTATCTCGTTTTTGATTGGTCGTTGGTTCCGGTCGCCATATTGGAGCTAAATTCCAAACTGGCCAATAGAAAACCTTCAAAACGACGCGGTACACTCCGTGCTATAATTATTAATTATACTGTATTGTGTCACCTGTAATTGTCACGGCTTCATGTTACTAGTTTACACTTTGCTTCTTGTATTTGCTTTATTTTACGTTTTCCGTCTCCAGTTTTATATAAACTCGATTTTTAAAGACGCATACATATAGTTTGGATTTATTACGATATTATAAGGTATGTAATTCGCTTAGTGTTTTTAGATGTAAAACTGTGCCTAACCTTACGACTGGTAATTGATGTAAAATTTTTTTCAGAAGCACTAAATACCTAATGAGTTTAGATAGAAAACTGGTTAGAGAAGCAGCTTATCCGAAATTTAGCAGCAAATTCAATTGTGATCGTAAATACGCTTGAATTGGTTTTATGTTTGCTGGAGCACATGGAATATTGATCTCTTGTACTCCGTGGACTAGATCAACGTGTTTTGTCTTCCATTTAAGAGACTAAAGAAATACTTTTAAGTCCGGAAGGAGCAACACGCGACAGGGGACAAGAAGTGACAGAAGACACTGAAATGTCAAACACAATTTAATGATTATTTATATGTACATTTTGGATATTGCACCATATTTCATACTTATTATACCGTTTTCCATATACCCATACCTTTTTGAATTTTGGAGGCATTTGTTTTCCCATAGGTTGTTCTGCAAAGCTTTAAACGATCATTTCTGCGCCGTTCGTTTTGAACAAGAATCTTTACTTAAATGAAACTGACATTTATTATTCTACGCTCACAATTTGACATGACAAGGTATATTGATCTTACAATCAATTTTTTAGCTCCAATATGGCGGATTATGATAAGTTGTCGCCACTGTCCTTATAAAGTCACTGTAGTCTATACCTCTTTGACTATTTTACTATGGCTGAATCATTTTCGTTATTATTTCACACATGTAACCAAGTATTTTGTATTTACAACCAAATCGTCTCATGTATGTATGAATAATAATCGAGAAACTCGTCGAGAAATGAGGTTTTTATCTAGTTTCAATTTATGATTAATAATTCCTGTCCTCTTGTATTTGTCACGCGTCGAATTTTATTTTAAAGCGTCGAGTTGTGCAATAATGTATCTGTAGTTAAAAATAAACAGCAATATCATAAATTTGAATGAAAATATTTTCATCTAAGTAGGTAAATACACAAAAAGTAAGGTTAGAAGAGGCAAGTACTTACTTATAAATGCTGTATCTGTTTAAAACAAGTTAGATTGCACTAACACTTTACACTAGATGTATACTAATCGCTAATAAATGTGAAGGTCTCTCATCGGTATTGTTAATTCGAAGGAAACACATTTTTTGTATCCTTTTCTTTTGTATTTTAGTAATGTTATAACTGCTTTAAATCAGCTGATAAACTTCATTGTCACGTTTCGGTAGGTGTGTTTCTTCGATGAACTTGTTGTCTTGTGGCATAGATGGCGTGTGAGTCGCCAAAATAGACATTCAACTTTTTGTCAGGACCACGTGATTTGTGGTCAGGACCGTCTTCGGGCCTAGAGTTCGGTGAGACATCACACGATATTTGTTGTATTGCAACATATTTTATTATTAGTGTATTGATCAGTGATAGAAATAAGTTGACATTCGTTTCATTCGGGCATATTGGTGAATGGTGACCATTTACGTTCCCGTACGGAGGAGCCACTCCGCTTGATGCGGCACCGGGTGTCAGGTAGGGGAACGCCACAGAGTTGTATTACTTATATACAACTCTGTGGGGAACGCCCACAACGCAGACACCTGGGGCATCGATTCCTGAAGTTAGTCGATATGCTCCGTGATGTGCATGTGATGGGACCGGCTGCTATGACGTCATGATCGTATACCATAGGGATAAGTTCAAGTTTAGCTGCATTCCCGAATCGTGGACAAACTTTATGAGCTAACCAATCACAGACAAGAATTGAACTGTCATTTGTCAGTTTTGTATTTTGTTTTGTTTTTGCATTATGGATACTGTTATTAATAACCACAAAATCCTCGAACAATTCCATGTTTTATTTCACAGAAAATGTGTGAATGTATAGGTTAGGGCACTGAATAACCTTTAGCAAAACAGGTGCAAGTTCCGTCCTGTAGCTGCAACTGCGCATGACTTTCACGCAACGAGTGGTCTAGACCAGTCGTTGCGTTCGATCAACTTATCGCTCGACGCGGTAGGTTCGAGAATGCAGTCACAATCACGTTCACATCGATGTGAACGAAGCACATCTTCGGGAATCGACGCCCTGAATGATCGTAAAGTGACTCGTGTTTCGGTGTGGATAGTGATGATTATAAATAGCTCGTCGGGACTAAAACCATTGATTATACACACCATACTCAAAACCCAGACTGGTAGCGACGAACGTCATCGCAGCGGACCAACCTCCAAGTCAAGGCGTTAGCGACCATTCCGAGGACTGTGTGGCACTGGGGTGCAGTGTCGATAATGGTGCCCCTCGGATCCTGGGCGACCTCCGAGTGGTGATCCCTTTCCTTTGAGAAAGGTCTGGCGGCCAAACCCTGGGTAAACGGCTCTGTCCAGGTGAGACCGTATTTCCGCACTATTCCTGGGAATAGTATGGACGATAATAATATACTCCCAAAAGGGGTGGGATAACACACAACGCACGCACAGAAAGCACAGGCTCAAAGGTAAAACCTCCGGTCAAGCGGGCTCTGCGCCAAATCGTAAGGCTGTGTCTGGGCCGCTAGCTCGGGAAGGCATCCCAACGTCAGAGACCAAGCGTCTCGGATTGTAAGGAGTGTTTCTACACATCGAGGCAGGGTGCGTTTAACAACACCACGTTCGATTCCATTAGTGAGACTGCTCAAGGGTTTGGTATTGATGGGTCAATCGTAAGATAGATCCGGGCCATGCTCTGGAGCAGAGTCATTATATCCTCAATCGACGACGGAGATGACCTCCTCGTTTACTAGAGGATGTCCGCAGGGAGCGTTGTTCTCGCGATCGTCATAACTGGAAAGTTTTCAAACACCATGAAAGAGTTCATGCAGGGGGTTCTTGACCAGGTGGATAAGTGGTGCAGTAGCCAAGGCCTCTTCTCGGAAAAGACCGATGTTGTTCTATTTACGATTATAAAGAGAGCGGACCTTGATGGGCATTGGGTTTACTCTTCGAAGACGTCAACTAGGTCAGTCAGTCTGACCTAGGTCAGTGAAATATATGGGGGTCGTCATAGACTCCCGCGAGACTTAGGAAGGGCACATTGAGCTAATAATCAAAAAGCTCACTGCATGCAGTCTGTGAGCATGTAGAAGGGCTTTTGGTTGTACGTGGGGCTTGACCCCTGGACTGGTCACTGTAATGATAAGGTCAATAATACTGTACGGTGCACATGTGTGGTGACCTGCCACGTTTGGGAGTCACTGGAGCAATGAAAACCACGGCAACTTTGGCCATGGAGCCTTTACACTTAGCTGTTGAGACGAGGCTTGGAAGACGGTTAAACAATTGGGACGAAGCAGCCTTGGTCACGGGCAGATCTGGGAAGAAACATTCAAATCCGATCGCCTGCTTGCAGCAAGGGATCCGGGCTGTTCTACTAAGGCCAAAGAGTTATCAAGTCACTATTGTCCGGCCAGGGAGCAGTGGCTGAATTCAGATCGCCCGTTCCTCAAACCTAAGGGGTTCGTGTGGTGTGGTTTATAGACGGAACCCTAACGGAAAGAGGAACGGGTGTGGATATACACTATGTCGAAGATAAGGATGTCTATCATGGAGATCTCCGACACCATAGAAGATACAACGATGGTCAAATTCGGGAAATGTTGCGCAATTATAGACAGTTCTTATCATGCTTTAAAGAAAATGAGAAAATTCCTATTACTTCCGAAGTAGGCCAGAAAACCCAAAATTTGCCGATTTGGTTTTCATTTTTTTCTGCTGTTATTTGAACAGATACAAAAAAAATTGTAAACACTTTCTCATTGCCACTTTATGAGCTCTACAGGACACCATTAAGAGATTTTCAATAGAACGCCGCGTTTCGACATATGTCAAACCAAAGAGTATATAACGTATAACACGAAAAACAAAAGTTTGCAACTGTGGGTTTCAACAAGATGGTGCACCCACGCACAACGCTCTAGTCGTGCCAGAATACCTATCGGATAACTTTTACATTTTCTAGAACCTTTTCTAGAATTTGCTAATTAACTGCTTCTTGTTTTCCTGTAAAAGACAAAAAAACTTTTTCGCATCGCCAATAAAATAACTCTCATAATAAAATTTGGTTCAACTTAAAATAGACATAATATACACACTACACAGTATTAACTGATAATAAAGGTAATCTGAAAATTAGTGTCGGCGACGACGACGGCGGTTGTGTTCAAACCTTTGCAACGCTCTCTCCTAAAGCAAAAATTACTCAAATGTAATATAGCACAATGAGAATTACCTGTGCAAGGCGATCTTCACGATTCATTGCTAAAAAGGGATTAACGGGAGCTGCTGGAACAACAGTTTCAGTGTCAGTCTTATAGTGCTGTTCGATATCCGCGGTGGGATCTATCTTTAATCTTTTAGCTTCGCTAATTCCTAGATCTCTCTTAG